CTGCCACTCTGGCAATCAGGAAGACTACTGCATAAATTCTTTCTTCAAGCATCTGAAGATTTGAAATTTCTCTGTGCAAATACAGTCTACAACCATTCGCTCATGAAGAAGCTCCAGGAATCCACATATGATGTATTAATTACAGACCCTGTGATGCCCTGTGGGGAGCTGGTGGCTGAGATGCTTGGGATCCCTTTTGTGAACACGCTAAGGTTCTTCATGGGCTACACCATAGAGAAACACTGTGGGCAGCTTCCAGCTCCACCTTCCTATGTGCCTGTTCCCATGGGAGGACTCACAAGCAGAATGACTTTTATGGAAAGGGTGAAAAATCTAGTGCTTTCGTTTTTGTTTGACTTCTGGTTCCAGCAGTATGACTTTCAGGTTTGGGATCAGTTTTACAGTGAAGCATTAGGTAAGAAACTCGGAATTTTATGTTAAGCTACTTTTCCATGTCACCTAGGAAGCTGAAGAAAAACCAAGGAAAATGAAAGAAAAATGTTTTCAAAACTTTAATTTTCTTATAAAATTATAAGTGAGAGTAATAACTGTTCATTAACATAATTGTGAAGTGAATACAAAGTTCTTTTTTATGTATATTCTTTTTATATAATCCTTAAATGCTGTTGTAAAATTCCTTGACACTTCATTATTTTTGTAAAGGCAAACCAAAAAAGCTCACAAAAATTCCTGTTTAATCTAATTAAAGATATTCTTGTCAGATATAGAACAGAAAATCCTTCTAGTACAATGAAAATTCTTTCCCTGGACATGCAGATAAAATTGTTTATTAGATAAAATATTTAATGTGAGTTGAATGAGTAAGAGAATCATCCTGTATTCCAGGAGCAAACTGACATGAACTCTCCTGAGCACGGTATTATGTTCATGATAGAGTTTACATGATCTGAACTTCTGCACATGTCAAAAATTCACTGATTACTAGTATCCAATTAGTGAAATTTCCCCTCAGTTAAGACTGTTCCTGCCTATTATTTGGATTTGCTAGGTATCAAAGCATGATTAGGTGGATAGAAAGACAGTGAGGTAGATTGATAACCTAGCTCTCTTGCCCTTTTTGTTTGGATACATTTTTTTCTTATTTAACTGCAGTAGTTTAAAATACATTTGAACTAACATGTCTTTAATTCATTGCTTTGACTTTTCTCATGCTGACATTTTTCACCATGTTTTAAGATGACAGGTTTAATTATTTACGTTGTTGTCTCTTTGTTAGTGTCAGAGAGCTGTCTCCTGGTGCTAAATGACTATTGGGAGTTAACATCACCCACAGATAGTGAATATAGCCATTGCATAAAATGATTGCAATTTTTTTCTCTTTTTCCAAATGAATATGGTAGATAATATTTAATTTTTAAAAATTAATGATTTTATTCTTACAGGAGATACTTTTTACTTATATTTTTAGGCAGTATTAATATACTCAGGTAATTAATCAGTTTTTGGGTTATGGCATTGTCATTTTGTATTAAAATTTATTTTTAATTTTTATTTATATTTTAATAATAGCCTTTTCATAGCCACATCACCTATTTTATTTTTGTTATTTTTTTTCCTGTTTTACTTCTTGCAAGG